ATATTATAAAATTGCGTTTAACTCAAATAATATGTATCTAACATAAGTGGTAGTAGCTTTCATTTTATCTCAATATATGTATATGTAATATTCCGGCATATTTTTTCTGTAAAGAATTTTTAAATACATATATATTTGAATCGAATGAAAAATTTAATTACAAAGAATTAAAGAAGTAATAGTAATAGTAGTTTTTTTATTTAAATGAAAAAAATTTAATTTAAATAAAAAATTTTTATGTAAAAAAACTTGGCACTGGATAAAAAAAATAAAACTATTTAAAGTAATAATATATTCCTTAAATCTTGTCATTACTTTTTAAATAAAAATTTGTCATTTTTACTTTGTTATTATTTCAATCAAGATCTAGCAATACCAAGTTTTTTACATAAAAATTTTTTTTATTTAAATTAAATTTTTTTTATTTTGTACTATTACTTCTTTAATTCTTTGTAATTAAATTTTCCATTTGATTCAAATAAACATGTATTTACAGAAAAAATTCTTTAGAAGGATATGCTGGAATACATATATTGAAATAGAATGAAAGCTATTACCACTTATGTTAGATACATATTGTCGCGCCCTCAAATCGTTGCAGGCACGATGTAGACGGGAGGTTACCCCGAATACTATTTTTGAATATATTATTCTCACACGTTAAGGATCGAGGATTCGGCCTCGCGTAGCGCAGAACTGAATGAGGACTCGGCCTCGCTTGCTATCTCTTATCGCACGGATCCGTGTACTACGCTCGTCAAACTCGATCTGCCCGTATTCAGATGCGAGCTTATATATATAACAAAATCGGGAGCTGCAATCCAGCCAATCACAGCCCGATCCTGTGGCGGCGTTCTGTCCTTGTCGCGAAGTTCTTCGAGCCGCGAAACGTAGGCTCGACGATATAAACAAGGGCAAGAATACAAAGAGAGCCGCGACATGTGTCTTTTTGAGATACGTCTGAGGCGGCGTCTTGTGATATGATTTTAGCCGCTATTCCGTCGCAACATACTCCCCCCGTTGAGAGGATACCGATCAAATACATTCAATCGTGAAACGTTCGTGATTCGCGACAGTCGTGATCTTATGATTCGATAGGAAGTGGACACAGACACTTCACTGTTCTCTTCATTGTTCCAGTTGTCGTTTTCACAGTAGCGGCTCGTGTTATTCCGTCTTCGCCGGGGTGGACTTGTATGATTCGTCCCAGCGCCAACTATGTGCACGGGAGGCCTTTGTCTTTGATGAGTACAATCGTTCCGACGTCGATTTTGTTGCCGTTCTTAGTCCATTTGTGACGGACCTGGAGTTCGTTGAGATATTCTAAACTCCAACGTGCCCAAAGTCCTGACGAACCTTGGTGATGTGTTGCCAGGTAGACAAATGATTTGCTGGGACATCAATTAGATCAAGCTCGGGCATACTGATTAACGGTCTACCGATCAAGCAATGAGCGGGTGTTAGGACAAGGAAGTCATTTGGGTCTGAGGATAGAGCGGAAATAGGTCTCGAATTCAATATTCCTTCTACTTCGATAGTGAATGTGTTTAGTTCTTCAAAAGTAAATAGAAGCTCACCAACAACGCGCCTAAAGTGATGCTTAAACGATTTTACAGTGGCTTCCCACAATCCGCCGAAATGTGGGGCCACAGGAGGAATAAAGTGCCACGTGATGCGATGGTCTGTCGAAAATCGATTTATCATATTTTTGTGTTCGTCTGAATAAAGAGCATGTATAGCTCTCGGAATCGGTTGTTGACGCCTCTGAAATTGGTTCCGTTGTCGGAGTAAATACGCGACGGAATACCCCGTCTAGCGATAAAGCGTCGCAAAGCCGCGAGAAATCCGTTGGTACTTAAATCGCTTACAATTTCCAAATGAACCGCCTTTACAGCCATGCATACGAATACGCATACGTATACCTTAACTCGTTTTCGATTTCGATGCTTTTTTTCCTTAATGTGGAACGGACCGCAGAAATCTATCCCGACATTGGTGAAAGGAATCGCATTGCTCACTCGTACCTTTGGCAAGTTACTCATTTTGTATTCGACTGCATTCGCACGAAATCGAAAGCAGCGGACACACGAACGCACGATTTTGCGGACCTGATTGCGACCGTCAAGTGACCAGAATTTCTGTCTAATTGCATATAAAGTCATTTGACTATCGGCGTGGTAGTATCTTTCATGTGTTTCTCTGATGATAAGATCTGTCAAGAAATGTCGACTCGGCAATAGAATGGGATGTTTTTGTGAAAATTTTAATTCTGACATTTTGAGTCGCCCTCCTACGCGGATTAATCCTGCTTCGTCG